CGACTTTAGCTCAGGTCATGATCTCAGGGCTTGTTAGTTCAAGCCCTGCATCCAGCTCTGTGCTGACAGCTCAGAGCCTGGAGCCTGCTTTGGATTCTGTGTCTCCGTCTCTCTCTCTGCCCCTCCCCCACTCGCACTCTGCCTCTCTCTCAAAAATAAATCAACATTAAAAAAATTTTTTTTAAAAATGCACAAGATTATCTACTGAAGCATTATCAGTATTGTAAAACGTTGGAAATTACCTAAATACCCAAAAGAGAGGGGACTGGTTACATGAATTCTGGCACATGCAGGCAGTGGAATGCTATGCGGCTGGAAATAAGGATGCAGAAGTGGCAAGAAAACACCTCCGCGGGATATGGTTGAATGAAAATACCAGAGTTCAAACGAGCATGAAGTGTTTCCTTATATGTAAGAGAAGGAAGGGAAATTGAGAAACCATTCACCTATCTGCTTACTTTAGCAAAAGAAACACAAAAAGATTAACACCCTACGGAAGGAGCAAAAGGAAGGAAGGAGACGGCACAGAGTGACGCTCCTCACACTTTCAAATACTTTTTAATATAGCTTTGACTTTTAGAAGTATGTTAATGGTATACATGTCGAAAAATAAAATGAAATCAACAAGGGTGGAAAAAAATCTACAGGTGAATGCAAACAGAAATGAGTGAGTCCAACTATACATTTTAGTTAACTCAATACTGGAGGGCGGGGGAGGGTATGTAATGGACTACCAAGTTGTAAGTATTTTGGTTTACCCTCAGCACAGAACAAAAAAAGAACTGCCAACAAATCTTTAACTCTTACTAGGTTTATTTTTCTAATTGGTATGGGCACAGCAATTCTGAAACTATTTTATGTGAACTATAGGAATGAACAATAAATAAATGTGTTGCTGGGAAGAAGGGAGATGCAAATATGGAATGGGGGAGGGGGAGGAAGAACTCTGTGGAATTGGATTAGAATTGGGAGTATTAATAATAACTGATGATTTCCTAGCTGTTTCCCCTGAAAGGGTCTAGAAAGAGTGCTATTCAAAAGAACTTTCTGTGATAGTAGAAATATTCTATGTCTGGGCTGTCCAATATAGTAGCAGCTAGCCACATGTGGCTGCTGAGTTTGAAATATGGCCAGTGTAACAGAAAAACTGAAATTTTAATTTTTATTTAATTTTACATTTGAATTGCCATGAGCAGCTGGTGTCTATGATATTAGACAACTCAAATCTAAAGGCAATGACACCATACTAATACCTAGCACCCAGACTGTGGCTTCTAAATCCTATTCTCCACTAAAAGGAACCAGGGTCCCCTGGAGAAATGGTTGACTCCACGGCTGGCACAGGTAGGTTACAAGAGGATCATGTTTGCCAGAAAATAACAAAGTGCTTTTTTCACCACATTCACAGCTATAAAACAGGAATCCAAGAGTCCATATGGGTAAGAGAGAAGGGAAAAGGGAGCTCTTCCTTAGCAGATCACATTTGAATATCAGGATCCTGGAAAAAATTACTTCTTGGCATTTCCATGAAGGGAATCCCAATAGCCATGCCCCTATACCTTACTTAATCCACTTCCTTTCTAAGAGATGCGGTATCTTTCAAATAAGACATTCATATTCTTAACATTTAAGAGACTATTTATTTATTTCTCTGAGTCACCATATCAACAAGAAAATTAATGAGGAGTTCAAATGAGTATCAAGGGTTAAAATAGGAGCCCAGGAATTCTCAATTTCCAAGTTCCAGAGACTAAGGAAACTCTCTTCTCTCTCCTCCTATTCCCTGAATCAAATCAGATGAAATTTAGTCATTCTCTGTAGCTTTCTACTCTGGCTCAGAGACACTTAATCTCCTCCTTTCTACTGGAAAATATCTCAGTATGATGGTTGTAATGAAATGTAGCCAAGCTTGCATCTTTGAAACGCTCTTACTAGCTGTCAAAACTGTTTTTCAACAACACTACACTCCATGCCCAGAATTACTGTGATTTCTTTAGTGATAAAGTAAACAAAACACATTTTCACTACACAACATTAACACGTACTGAGAAGACAGAAAGCAAAAATCATTTCGTAATCTCCTTAAAGAGATAAATATACTAGACCATTCTTTTCCAAACAGGTATCAGTTTGTAATTTATTATAAAAAAAATTTCTTAGGTATATTAAATAAAAAGGAGGGAACAGGCCATAGCTCCAAGAGAAAATGTTTCACCAAATCAAACAATAATAGTAAATATCCTACAACATGAAGAAGTAATAGATACAGCATCTTTCCAATCTGTGTACAAAATCTGTCATTCGGCTCTTGGAGGATACAAACAGAAACACTGTTACTATTGCTGAAACAAACAATTATCACAGGTGAACAGAGAGGCCAGAATTAACTGATCGTACACTGACCACCTTTCTTCCGTAAGTCTAGGGAGGATGGCCCATGGGGCTGCTGCTATTTCTATATTCCTGAAACTCTGCATGATGACATCAACTGTTGAGTTGCACATGAAATCTAGCAATTCTGTTTACACTTTAAATTATTCGTAGTGTCCTCAATGTAATTATAACATAGTATGAATTATTTATAGTCACCTATACTTCAAGCTCATATGTGCAACGACCCAAGGAATCAGCAAGTCATTTTCTAACTGCCTTAACACTGTAATAATAATATTACTGATGACTCAGGCAGGGGGTGCTCCCCACTGGCCCCGCGCTACATTTACAACCATCTGGTGAGGGAACAACTACCATTACTTCCACTGAAAGATAAAGAAGCTGAAATTTAAGCCCAAGACATTCTGACTGAAATTCACACACACTCAGACATTAAATTCACCACAACAGTATTTTTATTCTCTATTGCTGTTATCAATATCAGAATAAGTGACTTATTAATAGTAAAAGTAATAGCTACTATCAACTGAGTGTCGCACTGCACCAGACTCCTTGCACATGGTGGTTCTCGAGCTCACAGCAGCCCTCACATGAACTGATATCATTGCCATTTTACAAAGAAGGATATTGGGCCCAGATAAATTAAGTGACGGTCCAAGGAAGTGGCAGAAATTGAAATTTAAACCAAGGCATGTTTGCTCACAATATATACCGTTTCAGGGCCACTTCCCCTTTCCGTCCAAAAACAAAAACAAAAACAAACAAAAAAAACCCCCAAATGTCTATTTGGGTTTTAGGAAAGAGGAAAAGGAGAAGAAGAAATTCCTCGTAACAAAAGAAGGAACAAACAGTTGAGCACCCAGGACCTAAATAACCAGCCTCTCCCTATCTGGGAGAGCTCATTGTTTTGCAGTGAGTGCCTTGTCTCTGGATTCCTGATTGTAGCAAATTCCAGGGCTCCAGACTGCAGCTCAGCCTCTGACTAACACTACAGTGATTTATTTGAGGATAAATACCTCTGTCAGTGTGTCTTATGACTGAACACAACAGTCCAAGCGGGATGGAATGCATGGAATGCCCAGGGCTGCTGGCGCTGAGGCAGCAGAGGGCTGCTGGCCTTATCGGCTACCTCTCACTGCCCAAGGTCTCCTCCAATGAGAAAACAGGAACTCTCTGAGCACTCATGTTCCTGCCAGAAACAGCAGCATCCTCAGAAATCAGAACTGGGGAAGCCAAGCATTTTGAATAATTATGTAACATTAATTCACACCCAGGGAAGGCGGGGGAAGAGGAGGATCTTTTTACCTGGATATACAAAGCTACGCCTTCTAATAATCAGGCCTACCTCCCCCTCTGACAAGCTCCCACACTCTGATAACGCCTAACAGCTACACAGTTGCCAGAGCAGACTCTCCGGGCAGCTGGCTGGTGTCTCCAAGTCCTGAAAACATGTGAAAAAGCATTCGACCCCCTTTGTGGGGCATGCGTAGTAAGAAGAAAGGGCAAAGAGGAACCCACAACAAGGCGCACAGAAGCATAGCTGTTTTCCTAATGTGAATGTGGTCACACTGCACACATTCAGAGAACTTTCATTTCAACCCCTCTGTGTTACAAGTCAGGAAACTGAGGCCCAGAGAGTTGAAGCAGCTCATGTGATGATCATAAACAGTGATGGTGGCTGACGGAGGACTGGTGCTCAAACAGCTACAACAGGCTCACATGCCAGAAGTGATGAGCAGCACGTTATCACAAACACAAAAAGCCATCTTTCCCACCTTAGGAAGGTCTTACGTTTTTACCGTGAGCACACAAGGTGAGAATTAATACATATACTGTCAAGAAGTCAACAGCAGCTTAACACGACCTCCCAATGCCTACGTCATTCACCTTACCGCGTCTCATTCATTTAGCATCTCACATCATCACAAGAAGAAGGGTGAGTACTGTGCAATAGATATTCTGAGAGAGAGAGAGAGCACACTCACACAACTTTTATTACAGCTTACGGTTATAACTGTTCCATTATTAGTGACTGTCACCAATCTCTTACTGTGCCTAATTTATCAATTAAACTTGCTCATAGATATGTATGTCTAGGAAAAAACAGAGCATATGCAGGGTCTGGTACTGTCTGCATATCAGGCATCCACGGGGAGTCTTGGAACATATACCCCACAGATGAGGGGGGGACTACCGTACTTTTTCACATACAATTCTAGACTCCCAAGCAAAACATGTTACATAAGCCTGTCTAGGCGCTAACCTTTCCTTCCATTTCCCAGCCCATAAGACATTCACCAAAGATTGATTCTCCTAACAACCATCATCGGTACAGGCCAGACAAGGCAGTCTTCAGTCAACCACCCCCAAGATGCCAGAGGAGAAAGCTAACATCCGCGGGAGCACACACACAGGGTCAGGAGGAAGGAAAGAAGAGGTCACCTCTCCACAAGTGGTTACAATCGGTTCATCTCCTGCCTGGCAGGTAAGCATCGCTCATCTGTCACTTCACAGCTGGCACAAAGTTGCCAGAGAAACATGGCCCCAGCACAGAACGCACAGAAGCCAACCCCAGAAGACCCTCGCTTCAGAAAGAGGGAACTTACAGATGGGGGTTGAAGATGCGACTCATCTTGGAAGCATGGTCGTTTTCACAGTCCAGGCCATCGTCCCCTTGCTCCAGGCTGAACTTCCTCTTGCTGGGACTGATGGGCGGGGGGCCTGTGCGGTGACTGGTGAGGGCAGATGCCACAGGGAGGGTCTGCATCCTGGGTTCTCCCCTGAGAGCAGCTTCACCTACGCAAAGAGAGAGGTCGTCGTCATCAATGAGCAGAAAAAAACGCCCCACCGCAGCACCCCGCTTCCCCGCCCACCCCTTGCAAAAAGACTCCCGTGGAAAGTTTTGGCACATGACAGGCTGCCTGCCATTCTCAGAACACGGCCTGAGTGCAAGGTTAGCTGCCAAGCACAAGGCATTTTACATAAATGTGGTTTTCTACACAATAACTCATTCCCCTCTCCCAGCTTTACTGAGATGTAACTGACATACAACACTGCCAGTTTAAGGTGTACAATGTGTTGATTTGACATACTTATATATTGCTAACCCCTCCATCATGTCACATAATGACCATTTCTTCAATAACTCTTTAGGGTAGGGTTTAAAATTAAAAGTAACAAAGTAACAGAACGGTAAAAGTATTGACCACAAACCATCTCAAAAGTTAATTTAAAACAATAAAGGTCTTTTCAACCCCGTACCTGTAAGAGAATGACCTAACACAGGCTTCATTAGAACCTGAGTAGAAACTCACTTTTCTTGCCTGTTACATTTTTATTACATTTTTGGTATGTTATTTTTTTTTAAGAATGAGGAAAATTTATAGGTTCATAATTCACATATTTGCCCCAAAAGTTAAAAGAAATAAAAACACATTGTTTAATGAAAAATAAACATTTCGTTCTTACAGAACACTAAAAATGGCACATTAAATATGTTTTGGCTATTATCTGCACAAAGTTCCTGCATAGGATTTGACCTGCACAGGTGCAGTTCTCACACATTTTCAAAGCTGAACACTCAAATTAGAAATCACATTGTGACCTGATTCCAAATCTTGGTGTTTTTCATTCCTGTAATTACAAAGGCTTTGCAGCAGGCAGTAACTCTGTGCTTCATTATTAACTAAAATAAGCATGACCCTTTATTATAGTAAAGGTTTTATATCTTCTAATGTTTATAAACAAGAGTAATAATTACTTGAAGAGAAAATTTCAAGTTTTCTAAGTCATATGGGTGAGGGGGGGGACCTAAGATTTTCACAAATAATAACCCTTTTGTTGTGCTATTCTTATTGGTCTCTAAGGCCTGACCAATTTTGTTTCCACTCGGTCACAATTTGAGAGAAATATTAGGATAAAGTCAACTTCATCTGAAACCTTGTGGTACCTAAGACAGGAAACCTTTGTTTGCCACCACTAATTTTCATATCATCACAGATGTGTGCACAGGCTTAACAGTCATTTGCTTCATACACATATGACAAATATGATTTTGTTAGGGAAAGGAGTGAGGGAAAAACCTCCTGAATGTTTACCAGGAAAAATAAAACTTTTGCCAATTGAGTCAGCAAGATATAAACTAGCAAATATACAGTGACCCCATAACACACCTCCAGGCAGGATTTCTTTTAGGGATTTTGGCCCCAAAGCAAACTGGAACTTTCCATTTTAAAGAAATAGCTAAAAACAGGCCATAGTCTTCCCTGCCACATTCAGACATTCAGCAGGATTTTGTTTGTCCTCTACTTCCTATTTATGAATTTTTGATTGAAAGGAGCAAGCAAACAGGGGAGCCTGGGTGGCTCGGTTGGTTGAGCATCCAATTCTTGATTTTGGCTCAGATCATGATCCCAGGGTTGTGAGACTGAGCCCCACATCAGGCTCTGCACTAAGTGTGGAGCCTGCTTAAGATTCTCTCTCTCCCTCTTCCCCTCTGCCTCTCTCCCCCCCGACTTGTGCTCGCTCGCTCTCTAAAATTAAAAAAAAAAAAAATTTTACAAAGCAAACAAAAAAGCCATGCTAACTAATATTTATACTGTGATAAATCAGAAAATATTCTTTCCAAATACACCCCCCTCTCTTGTACCCTCCTCCTCCACAGAAAGGGAAGGGGAATTTCCAATGTAAAACGTCAGTAGCCCAGCTAACTTTCGGAGCAGCCCTGATGACAACCCCCAGGAACTCAGCAATTGCAAATCAAGTCTCCTCAACATGGCACAGAGAGCCACCATGCCCGCCACCCTGTGTTTCTCCACATCCTTGGCAGGTTCTGTGGGGAGGAGTAGTCCGGCTCTGTGTGGACCCCTGGGCTTTGGGAACCATTTTATCAGATGCCAGATGTGGAACGACAGCAGTTGCCATGGAAACCTACCACCACAGCAACAAATTCAAATCCCCCCCCCCAAAAAAAAGTCACTCATCACAACACTAGAATACACTGCTAAGCAAAAAGCAAAACTCTTGCAGTAAGAACAACGTTCCCACTCTGCTCCCCAATTTCCATCTTAACATAAGCTTGTTTGTGTTTGTTGGCAGTCTACATTCATCCAACGAATGCCCCGCTTATCTTTAAGACCGAAATCGCTGGTGTCTGACACAGAGAGAAGAAAGTCTACAGGAATCCCTTGAAAACTGGGATTTCTAACCTGGAGGGTAAAGGACCCACAGAGGAACCACGGGTGGTTCTTCCCCCTGAGGGGCTGTGATGAAACTATACCAAACCCCCTAGAGACAATGGGGACATGCATGCTGTTAGTGCTAGGAGGGGCCTTGTACACTTGGATTGCCTCAATGGACAGAGAAAACTGTGTGCCCAGACATGCAGGGAACTACCCAGGGTTAACAGGCTTAGTGCAAACAAGAACCCGTGCCCTCGGCCTATCAGAATGACATCTCCTTGTAAATGCTGTGCAAGGCCCACATGTGGCTTACAGCAGAGGAACTGAGGGTATAAGGGAAGGAATCCACAGTTAGAAGTGCAGAAACAGGTCTGGTCAGTGAGACACCTTCATTCATTTTTAGGCCCCCACTCAAGGACGCTAGTCCAACTCCTTTTATCATAAAGTAGGATTTGCTACTATTATTGTATAAGTGGCAAAGGAAGGTTAAAATAATTTTAGTAAAATCGAGGAGAACACATAGTCTGAGAGTCAAGACACTGGCAGGACACTGTCACTTTATTTAGAACCGGGAGAATATGGGCACACGCTTCCCCTCGAAGTCCTGCCTCCAACAAGGGGCTGGACTATCTAACACCTAACTCTCCTGCAGCCCTCCGAATTAGCGACCCAACTCTGATCCACAGCCCTGTAATGGATCAAGTACGAACCAGCCAACATTTACTAAGCGATTACTCCTTGTTTAACACCAAACCAAGGCAGCAAAAGGCACAGTGTGTGTCTCAGGTGCCATAGGTTTAAAAAACTAAAAAGCGAACCCATAGTCAACTCAACTTGGAAACCACAAGATTAAACAAAGTTCACACAAATTTCTTCACTACAGACCTCTGTGTCCTCTAAATTTTTTTTTTAACGTTTTTATTTATTTTTGAGACAGAGAGAGACAGAGCATGAATGGGGGAGGGGCAGAGAGAGAAGGAGAGACAGAATCGGAAGCAGGCTCCAGGCTCTGAGACATCAGCCCAGAGCCCGACGAGGGGCTCGAACTCACAGACTGTGAGATCGTGACCTGAGCCGAAGTCGGATGCCCAACTGACTGAGCCACCCAGGCGCCCCAAGACCTCTGTGTCCTCTAAAGCACTTGTCTGTCTCCAAGCCAGAAACACGGCTGTGCCGATTTTACTCACCCCCACCCCCGTGCTCCTACACATTTCTGTAAACTCAGTCTTCCACAGCAGTGTTCTGGCTAGCTCAACCCACTGTAACCCCAAACGGCGGGGACTTGAAGGTCACTGATGAGATACCCTGCAGGCTGCTTCTCCATTTATAACCAACAAGTGGTCCCATGACCCTCCCAGCCTTTGCTCCTAGTATCCCCCTTTGTGAACTCTGAAATGTCAGCCCTAGAGGATAAACTAGACTGGACACCACAGCACAAAGACCTCACTCTCTAACCCCAGGGCCTCTTCCTCCAATCTTCTTCTTACACTTAAATCCTACGTATCAGGCAAAGGCCACTTAAAATGCCTCCTCCTGCAGACTGTCTTCCTTGACTCCTCAATCTTAAAGCTATCTCTCTTGGGTTGAGCATTCAGCTCTTCATTTCAGCTCAGGTCATGATCCTAGGGTTGTGGGATCAAGCCTCAAGTCGGGCCCCATGTTGAGCAAGGACCTTGCTTAAGATTCTCTCTCTCTCTCTCTCTCTCTCTCTGCCCCTCCCTGGCTCTCATGTGTACACGTGTGTGCATGCACGCACACACACACACACACCTCTCTCTCTCAAATAAAAATAAAGTCATCTCTTCTTCTGAATACCCATAGAAATTTATCCCTATGATACTTCCCTTCCTACCTTGTTTTATGCTCCTTGAAGCAGGAGACATTTAATTCATTTCATATACTCAAGAATGCAGAGCACAATACCTTCCACATACTAAATGGATGGTAAACATTGACTGAATGAATAAATGAGGCATGGCAATGGGGTGCCGAGGTGAGAGAGTTATAGGATATGTTACAGATCAAAGTTGTGAGAATAAAGAATATTAAAAGTTTTAGTTAAGAATATTATTTTAAGAAAAAACTCTCAGAACTCAGCAATAAAAAGAACTCAATTTAAAAATAGGAAAAGATCTATGGGGCACCAGGGTGGCTCAGTCAGTTGAGCATTCGACTCTGGCTCGGGTCATGATCTCACAGTTGATGAGTTCAAGCCCTGCGTCAGGCTCTGTCCTGACAGCTCAGAGCCTGAAGCCTGCTTGGGATTCTGTGTCTCCCTCTCTCTCTGCCCCTCCCCCACTTATGCTCTATGTCTCAAAAATAAATAAACATTAAAAAAATTAAAAAATAAAAATAGGAAAGGACCTAAATAGACATTTCTCAAAGAAAGATATCTATCACCTCAAAGAAAGATGGCTATCATTAGCCATCACAAATCAAACACAAATAAAAACCACAATGAGACACCACTATACACACACCAGGAGGGCTCATCAGAAGACAGAAAGGAACAAGTGTTGACAAGAACGTGGGGCATTTGGAACCTTTGTGCACTGCTGGTATGAACACAAAATGGTGCGACTGCCATGGAAAACAATTTTGGGCAGTTCCCCAAAT